ATCAGGAAAAAAAACAAAGCTTTTCCAATTAGTTAAAGATGTAAACTGAAAATGACATTTCATAAACTGAAAATAAAAGTTTTTTATACATACAATTTACACTAAAAACCATTTTATACTCTCGTCAACTGCTGCCCTTCTAACCTTTTCAGTAACCGCAACATTAACCATCCCTTCTTCTACTCTTTGATTCTTATCATTATAGTTAAAATGTACCTATAAAAGTGTCTCAAATGCCGTTAATAAGTTAAATCTTTCTAAACAATTACCTAAGTTTTCCAAACAATCAAATAAATTTCAAATATTAAGAAGTATAAATAGACATTTAAAAAGGGTAGTTTCAGCTATACAGTACCTCAAATATTTTTTTTGCAATCAGGCATTACGCGTAAATCATAACCACTTATTTGCAATTCAATTTAAGGTAAGCAAAGAAAACTCGGAAAACAAATTACCAGTGCAACCAGTAATCAAATTCACAAATTCCATCAAAACTCTAAACGTTTGACAAAAAAAAAAATTGTAACTCAGTTTCAGCTAACTGCCTTCATAAATTATGTATTAGTTGAACTTCTGTTTTACTTCAGTACGTTTACCTCGTAAACTACTTTTTACTTCCTCAGCTTTTTATAAATTAGGTTTTTCAAATATGCTTTTCTGATGCATTACCTTCATTGAAAAAAACCGGCGACTTTCAGCAATACTTTTTTTGACGTTACCTTAAAATAAACCTTTTGGTATACGCTTTCAAGCAGATCTACGATACTATACACATCGTTTGGGTGGGAATTGATAAGTGAGAATTTAGTAGTTTTAGATTATTTCCGATGAGAAAAATACTTGCACCACAGCAGCGTACAAATCATATGTAGTTTATTTGATCACTTTATAAAAGTGCCAGAAAAAGTAAGGACTTATGCCTGCGTAACCTAGTATATGAAAGCCCTCATTTCCTTTACTTATAATTCTTTAACTCGTTCTACGATAATCTCGTATCAAGTTATATAGCTTTTCCAGCCGGTATTTTGCGAATTTTTCAGGTCATACAATTAATGACCACTGATAACAGCAGAAAAAAAAAATAACCTAAAAATAAATCCTTCATCAATTTATAACAGAGTTGGCCACAATCACTTAAACAAATGCCAAGTGGCCGAACATGTAACTTAAACGTAGTATTTTTGCCTACAGAACGTTCAGGAAAAGGAAACAGTATGCCTGAAAAGGTCCAAGTTTTACGTCCTTTCCGCGACTACAATCAAATATTAAGTTTCTACACGTTTTTAAATACTCCTGTTTCCAATTTTATCACTTGCAAACAAGACAAGGTAGTTTCGGAAATAACTTCAAATTAATGTTGCAAAAAACTATTTGAACAGAATTCTCTGTTTTATGAACTGTGCTAGTTCCATTAAAAAAAGAAACTTCCGTTTTTGAGCAGTCGAAGAATTAAGCGCACAGGTTAAATTACCTCTCTTCAAAATACAGCTTCTCAGCAAGACTTCCTACTTGAGGAAGCGAAGAAGCAGTGTGGCTCGGTGGTTCTTTCTGGTCTTATTTCATTCCACTTCAACTTATCAGAATACTTCCACTCAACAGTGGAATTTGCGCAACTTGTGGGATATAGAATCCTTTTAAAAAAATCTTCTTATACAAAAATTAAGTAGACCTCATTTCGATGACATCTTTGCAAAACTTTTTTTTCTCGAAGTCCTGATTATTTTGCCCGTACCTGAAAGTAAAGACAAACAAACCCCATTTAACCACAGGTCACTGAGTTTTGCTCACAAATAACAAAATTATAAGTTTCAGAAACATCCTCAGCTTTGTGAAACTACTGAGTTTTTAAAAGTTTAATGAGGTGTCACCGGGAAGCCCACTTCCCCAGATAACTTCTTTACCCAAAGTAACCATTTATTTCATTTGGAAAAAAAATGCTACAAACGAAAAAGCCTCCCAATTTAACGTGAGGTGACCTCTACGTGCACAATACAAATAACACCTTCAAAAGTAAATTTAAAAGAGCCTTTGAACGTTTTTTCGAACTTTCACTCGTCATTCTTCAAACTGGTAAAAATGGACAGCCCGTCTACTGGTACAAACCTTGTTTACGTTTCTGCCAGAATTCCTAATAGATATCTATTAGCCTCAAAATAATTTCTGAATTTTCAAAGTTGTTTTTTGGAACCATTGCATCCCTGTTTTTCCTTGTGTCTAATTTTCTGTCCTTCTGTTCCCTGTTAGCCATATGCCTGTGTGATAAACGACGATATCGCTTAAAAATCGCACGTCTTTAAATCCAATAGTGTCTTTGGAATACGTAAAACCACTTGTCCTTTGAACTGCTGTAAATATCGTCGGTCACTTATTTAGTGTGATACAGAGCACCATGACTTCCATATTTTGAAACTAAATGTCAACTGGGAAAACACTGTTCAAGCCAGGCTGCTATGAATATGCACAGGCAGACGCTAATGCGGAATTAAAAGAAGAACGAGAAACGAAGTATACATAGTCAGAAGCGACAAGGCCACAATAAATTCAAGCAACTAAAAAACTTCCTGAACACAGAGAACCGCAACTGACCTCAACGCTGTCATAATAGTCTCGCAGTTTAAGGGTTGGTTTCTACGCTTTAAGAAAAAAGTCTGATGGAGTTTTGCCAAAAATGGAACTTCAAAATTACCGGGAATAACGGAATTTAATTTGCCACTACAGAGAGGATGTGAAATATATAGCTGTTACATGCAGTCTGATGTATGAAGCGAACTTTAGAAATCAAAGTATTTCGAGGATTTTGGATTTCAACCCATTATTTTATTTCTTATTTCGAATGAGTTACAAATACATGTTTGTATAAACAGTGTTCAATTTTCGAAAGTTAGTTCTAACTGTAATATCTTTAGTTGTATGGTTAACGTCGTTTACTCTGTTGTATTTTTGACTATAGTATAGCAGTAAGTGATAAGATTCTTGTTGTGTTTTGTCATCATTATACGACTTGCCACTTCAGTTTTAGGGTACATTTTGAAGTGCCATTAATCAGGGAATTAGCAGTGTTTTTACTTTGAAACTTTACTTCTTTTGTTATTCTTTTGAAACGTGATTTATTAGGTCGTATATTTTCCTTTGTCGACATGTTGTTAGTTTTTCTTTAGACTATGCCGACCTGGTACAGTAACTATATTATGTTCGATTACCACATGTTGAAATTTCTGTGAGTTGTAGTACTGATAGTAGTAAAATTTTTGGTGATTAAAAGTGATTATGAGGTGTAGATCGAAAGTTGCCACTGAAAATTTTTGCCGAACAAGGATGCTTTTAACACTTTTAGGTGCTTACTGCAGTATTTTAGAGAAAGAAAAACTATTTTGAAGTTTTGTCATGGGCATGTCATATGTACTCGGAGCAACTTTAAAATTTCATTTGCTTTATTTCAATATTATCATTTGTTTTTTTAGTAATTATTGCAGTGTAGACCAGTTAGTTTAAGTAGCGCAATCCTATTATAAGATATGGTAACATAAATTTTGGTGTAAAGTGTTATAGTGATTCTTCCAGCACACTTTTAAAAATGGTCTTGGATTGACTTTGAAAGTTACAATTGTGGCCGAGAATAATTTTACTCTAAGCTAGAAATAGTTTTGTTTGAACGTGTTTTGCTCATAGATTTCTGGTCAAGTAGGAATTTTCCTCTGACTGTTCTATCGAAGTTTGAGTAATTTTGTCTCTTTTTTTGCCTTGTTTACATGGAGATTTACAAAGAAGGGTCTGTAACGTTTTTGATGCTTGAAGAAACCCCCGCGTATTACAGGACAATGTGCAGTTTTTTTGGATTTATCGCTGTATCCGAGTTCATTCTGAGAGATATGAGATTGAGACATTTACAGCTGTGACTGACACAAAAGATAGTTGTTTACTGGTGATTTCTGGGTTTACACCATGTCCTTCAGTATTTTCACCTATTTGTGACGTCTATATTTTTAGTCTTTAGAAGGCTTTGAAGGCTGCCAGAAGATGAAGCTGATTGATGAGAAAAGTTACTATTCTAAGTTAAGTAAAGACAGTTTTATCGATGGTTTTTCAGCCCAGTTTCCGTAAGTAACTGGATTTCGCTACGGATGGAATTACTAGATAGTGTGGTTGCTTTTTGAGACGATAATTGATTACGTCATGTTTGAACACTGGAAAATCCTTACTTCTTCCTTTTTTCCTCACATGCATATTGCACGTGTGTTACACAGAATTTCTGATTGTCATTATGAAGGCTAGAAATTTGTTTGCAAATAATATCTGTTATAAAAGTTCACTGGAAAACGGTTCAGCTGAAAGTCTAAGATAGATTTATAATAAAAACTTTCTGCGTACCATTTAAAGTGACGTTTTCAAGGTTTGACTTATCCAAATGTAGTTTCTGAGACGTTTTTTCATTCAAAAAAGTGCCTAAGTGGCTTGGTAAGGCCGACGTTGGTGGCTACTCTTCGTTATTTTTTCTTTGAGTTGTCGCTGTATCTTTTTCGCTTTTCTACAGAAGTTGCATCTAGTGATATTCGTCAAAGTTGCTTCTTTTTAGCCTTTGTGGTCAGTTCAATTTCTGATTGAATTTTTTAATAGTCAATCTCTGTGCTTCAGGCTTCTCATCTCCCGTTTTTAAGACGCATTCAGCCTTTCTTACTGCTTATTACTCTGCCTAAGAGTTGGTAATATGTCTTATTTTATTATCTGCTGAACATGGATATTTATCACTTCTTGCTGACGACCAGTTCTTTACGTTTCAAAGTTTCTGTATTGTGCTTATTGTAGAAGTTCGTTATAATTTCTTAGTTCTTTTTCTAGCTTTCTTTGATTGTTAACTTTTAAGACTCAAGTATTTTCTAATCAAAGTTCTGCCATGATATCTCTTTGTGTTTTGACAGTTGATTCCGTTGAAATGTAGTTGAATTTAGAGAGAAACAGAACTGGTGAAATGGTTTTAGGATTTCATATACGTAAAGCTTGCCATGGGGGACGACACCCTGAACCCAAAAGCTTATCCTCTTGCTGACACAGCGCTCTCTCAAAAGTTATTAGATTTGGTGCAACAGGCGCATAACTACAAACAGTTGAGGAAGGGAGCCAATGAAGCCACAAAGACGTTAAATAGGGGTATATCAGAGGTGAATTTTTGTTTTGACTCAACTTTTTTGATCAGCTGGCACAGCTGCGCGAAGTATAATTATTGTTATGGCAGTGGAAATATTTAGCAATACAAAAAGTGAAATTAGTTTCAACAGTAATGATATTACCCTCGGGGTTTTTCACTTTCTGAATTTAAGTTAATTATTATGGCGGCGGATGCGGAGCCACTGGAGATAATCTTGCATCTGCCATTGCTTTGTGAAGATAAGAATGTTCCCTACGTCTTTGTTCGCAGCAAGGTAATTTTCAAATTAAGAAAAAGTTTTTTTTTGCATGCAACAGTTTTGATTTTTTTTTAATGTGTTTTGACAAAATGAAGGGTTGAAGTGCCGTTTCACTATAGGCTGCGCTAGGCCGAGCTTGTGGTGTTACGAGGGCCGTTATTGCTGCATCGGTGGTTCAAAACGAAGGATCTCAACTTAAAAGTCAGATTCAAAAAATTAAGGAAGATGTTGAGAAGCTTCTCATCTGAGTGTTGTTCCCTGGTATCAATTTGCTTTAAATGTTTTATTCGTTGTTGTTTCGTGAAAATACGCCTTATGTAATAAGTGGCTTAAAGATATTGAATTTGAGAGCCAAAATTTTTGAGATGGATAAAAGATATGTTACTATGTGTTGTTTGTTTTTCTTGTTATCAGTTTTCAGCTTACCAGTCTTGAACTTTTTTTTTATTTATAGATTATTTAATAAAGATTATAACAAATTTGAATCGCAGCTTCACATAATCATTACTGCTATTTGAGTAAATTTTAATCTGTATTGGGTTTCATGATTTGTGGATCTTTGGATTCTTAACAGTTCCTAAAGCATTTTCCAGTAACTCATAAAGCAAAAAATAAGGGACTTTGTATTGCAGTACTGCTATGAGCTGGTAGCTTCGTCAATGTTAGTAGCGTTGTGTTGATTCTAATTGAATCAGCAATGATACTGTGTTGTTTGTTGGTTGATTGGTTCATCGGCTTAGTTATGGCAATTGGAAGCTGTATTTTGTCTGATTATGGAATTTCAGTTGTTTCTTTGTATTTTTGCAACAGTTGCAGTTCGGAAGAAAATTTTGAGGTGTGACATGTTGCTGCAGCTTACTGCGGGTGTGGTGTTTGCAGTGTTTGTCTACTATGTGAACGAGAATCTGTACACGAAGCATCCTGTTTTTGTCGATTATGACGTTGTTGACAAGCAGTATAAAGCAGTTTATGATATGTTCCGGTAATTGAGTTGACAGTTTTCAAGTTGTATAGGTGACTGGTAATACAAAGGTTTGCTTGGAACTATTAAATTTGTTATTATGGGATGTCGGTCATTAGTAACAGAGACTGCAGTAGCAGGTTAGTGTTACTACATTTAAGCGACGGAGTGCAATTTCTGATTTTTTGTGAGTGGCCTTGTTAAATTCTCCAATAGTTTTGTAACTACGATTTAAATACTAGATGTAACCCTGTTCACTGTGTTTGCTTTTTCGGTTCAAAAAATCTGTTCGAAGGGGGAAAAACTGTTCCATTAAAGAACGAAAAGTATATTTTTTTCTTAGTTTATATACTATTCAATAACTGGTGAAAAACGTTAGTGATTCTGAAGATTAAAGTTGAGAGGCGTCTAGGGAAGTGACTTCCTCAATTTATCATAGAGGTGCCATTTTGATGCACGAGGTATTTTGATTCAGCCAGAATTTTGCTGATGGTTTGGAACATGAAGGAGCTGCTTTAGTCGTCTACCACAAGGGCAAGAAAGTTATAGATGTGTGGGGTGGTTACGCCGATATTCAAGCGGCTCGCAAATGGGATAAGGTTTGTCGCGCATTTTCATAGCTTTGATATCAGTGCTTGTATAGTGCTTTCATAGTCTTATCAAACACCTGTTTGGGGAGTACTTGCCGTATTTATTGGAAGATTCATTAAAATATTATAAACAGAACTTTTGGCAACTTTTAAGGACACGCTTACCGTCACATTTTCTACTACTAAAGGAGTGGCAGCGTTATGTGTTGCGATACTTGTAGACAAGAAATTCTTAAATTACGGTGACCTTGTTACCAAATATTGGCCGGAGTTCGGCAAATATGGAAAGGAGTCTGTCACTGTACAGATGGTTATGTCACATATGGTAATGCTGGCTTTTCATATTCTTCTTGGTTAAAATCGTCAGTTTCATCCCTAGTACCTTTTTCCAGTCTGGCTTACCTACGGTCGATGAAGAAATTACCATAGAAGCAGCATCCAATCATGGAATCATGAGGTAACTCTGAAAAATTCGTTTCTTCTGCCTGAACGCTTTATAAATCCTCTTTAATTTGCAGGAAGATTCTTGAAAATGCTAAGCCAAAGTGGACCCCAGGAGTTTTGAGTGGTTATCATGCATACACATACGGTTGGCTTGTTGATCAACTAATTCGTCACAGCGATCCTAAAAAACGAGGAGTCGGACAGTTTTTTAAGGAAGAAATTGCAGATAAATTCGGTATTCTTACTAGCAGAATTTCCCAACATTTATAAACTGAAGCAATAGTTTATCTCATAGTTGTGTAAGGTGTTGACTACTTCATCGGATTACCGAGCGATCAGGAGTATAGGGTTGCTAGAATGACAAATCCACCCCTGTGGAATCGTATAAAAGAATTAATTAGACACCCATCCTTACTCAAGATGTTAGCTACAACGGCTTTTGGAAATCAAGTGAGTGTTCATTGTTCACAGTGGCCATATTATAATGTATGGGAATGTGTGCAAGAAATTACTCTCATTCACTCACTGGTTGCAAAATTAGATATAAAAATTCAATTAGATGTCAAAGCCAGCTGTCTTTTCATTCCCTACACCAATATGGTGGTCTTTTACAAGATCTCTTTCAGAAATTGTACTGACCTGTTAAGCGTATTACAGAATAGTATTCAAGCACAAGTAATAAAAAATCCCTCTTGGTTGCGCGTCTCTGATGATATAACATTGAATAATCCAGATTACCACAGATTGGAGCAAGCAGCTGTGCTAGGCATTGGAAATGCAAGGAGTCTTGCAGTTATTTTTAACGAGGTTACAGCGACTGCCGAACTTGTGCATTTATTTTATACTGGCTTATTGCTTCTGCTAATTTTGTTTTTTTAAAAACGAGTAACCCATTTTAATATCACTACCTTCTGATGCTGTCTTCTTCAAAAGTACGCTTGCAAGAATCATTTGTGCAGTAATTTTTTTATGAACTACAATTTTTGTTACTCTCAGTATCCTACTTTTTTTAAGCGACTGTCTTTTTCTAATTCTTTTGTATTAACCTGCGATTTGCTGCCTTAATATATCTGTAAAAAATAATCACGTATTCGACAAATTTGAAGCCGAATATTCATTTCTCCTCAACCATCAATTATTTCAGGTTCGGAACGACAGGCTTGTGACGGCGCAGACTGTGGAGCAGTTGAAGGTCCCTATTGTTTCGGGATATGATGCAGTTGTTGGGTTGAATTTTACAAAAGGGAATGGCATGATGTTCTACAAGATTGATAGAGCCAAAGTTAGTAATTCTCAGTTTATAAATGAAAAAGTTGTAAAGTTTTTGAGTGTTAATCTACCTCAATTGCAATCTTATGGCAGAGGCAGCTATTCTTTCACCCTTAAGTAACTGTTTAAGCACGGACTTGCTCTTGGCCACCCTGGTTATGGATGTCAACAGGTATTTTATGATCCAAATAACGACCTTGTTGTATCTTATGTTACCAACGGGCTTAAAACAGTGATGTACATGACTTGCGATTCCTACACCAGGCTCCACAACAGTATTTATGACATTGTTGAAAAACTTGGGTAATTGACATACCACTTTTAGGGTAAGTAAACACTAGTAGACAACTGTAAATTCGACTAGAAATTGAAATACATTTTTGTCTTCTCACCATTTTTTGCCTTTGGTCATCTTTAAACTAAAATGCATACTGTATGCTTTCTTAGCAGCATATTGACGTCGGAATGCTCATACATAAGTGCTACTGTCAGGGGACTTGTTCGCATGCGGATTTGAACTTTCAACGTTTTCGTCTCTATTACTGTTTAAAAGATGTTTTTTAACACTGTTTCCAAACGAGAATTGGAGTCCCTCAAAATTTTCAAGCTGAAAATGAAGCTTTTTGAGATTCATTGCTTTAAAAAGCGAAAAAAAATCACACATATCCTTAGAAAGTCACAAGGGTGAATAAAACGAAGATATGCGCCAGAATCATTGAAGAGACCAAAACGCGGGTAAAAGCTTCTTTAATTGGACAATCTACAGCAAAATGGTTCAACACGACTACGGGGAACCAGCCTTGTGCTACAATGGATGATGAAGTAAACATTAAGAGGCAAGTAAATAATGAGCTGCTTTGAAGCCGACCAGCGAGCTAAGTGTTTGTCATTCGGTCCGTCAATAAGCCATCCTTATTCCTGTGAAAAGACTAAAAGGACTACAATGGTTTTTCTGTCACTGTATAATTAGTAAGACGATTTGTAGAGTTCCGCCAACACTTTCTTAGAAATTTAAAAAGAATCTTGAAAAAGGTTTTGCTGTCTGGCGGATACGGACCTCCTATGACAGTTGCGAAAGAATCACTAAGTAGGTTGATGCAGTTGAATAAGGTGAATAGCGACTTTAACGACCTTCTTGTTGTTACTTGCTGGCTGATCAAAAATGACTTAAAAAATCATTCTTTTTTTCTCCCGTTACATGTCCAAATGGACGGAAAAAGTTTAACCTGTTTCCTTATCAGATGAAGCGTCAATCAATTATTTTCTCAAATTCACTCAAAAAAAAGTGGCCGCCAGCACCTTTCCTTCGTTGTAACTCTTTGAAAAAGCTTCATATTCTAAACAGAACTATATGGGAAGCCGCCCAAAAGTCGGACTTCTGCACCTTGAAGTCAGGTTTCAAGAAGCCTGCATCTTGCAACCTTCCCTTTGTACTCAGGGCGCGTTTCCAAAAAAACCCTCGGCTCAGTTGGGAGAAAACAGAAAACACAATATTCTTTGAGGCGCTTTTGAAGTGTTTTCTAAACCAGCATCTTACGCAGGAATGCACCCCCAAAACAGCTTAGGTCCCGACCGATGCCTGAATAGGATCTATTCACACTTCAAGATAAATTCTCGTCGTTTGCCAAAGATTTCCCACCCAACGTCTAAAATTCAAAATGTAACCCACACCCTATTCCGCTAATCATCCAAATACCTCATGGGTCAAATTAATCTTTGACAACGTTCATTTCTTTACCAAGTTTTTTTTATATTTCGGTAAAATCAGTGCATGAAGTGTATAAGGAAACATTTTAAGTTACAAACAAAATTATAGGGAAAATCTTTAAAACAGTGACTACAACCACATCGAAGAATATGTTCACAGCTTTGGCCCAACACGACAATACATCCCCATGAAACAACATTAAATTTAAGCAGACATTCTAATCAAGCGATACTGGCTGTTTAAGCTGATTAAGACCCTCCCCTTTACTATTCATTTCGGTTCATCTCCATAATTCAAAATTAAATTTGATGGGAATAACAAGTCACTACATGAAGTCACTATGAAGAAAACAATAGCAAAAATTTTTTTCTGTAGAAAGCACTGTATTTTAAGGGAATGAACGAATATAATAGTACAAAAAAAAGTAAATAAATTTAACAGAAATCTATCACGTCTTCAAAGATGTGAACCACGTAACTTCTGCTGAAGCAAAAGATTGTGATGTAGCTGTGGCCGAATATCGCAAACTAGTTGAAGTAAGCGCACAATAACCTGAACATACTTGTAAACCAATGTAAATCAATCGCACTAAAAAGTACTGAAGAAAAACCTTACCTGTTGCTTGTTTTGTGCAACAGATCGTTGCATTTCACGGATTGTATCCTTAGTTTCCTGTTTAATCTTTGCTTCTATGTCCTCTTTTGTGCCCAGATACTTTTGCTCGTACTCTTTAAACTGCTTGTCCCGCTCCTGGAAACAGCATCCATTTAATTACGCAATACAGTTACGAAAGTCTTTTAATCTTTTGAAAGGCAACTGTACGAGCAAAAATTGGAATAAATTACTTGTCGATACTTCTCGATTTCTGCTTGGGCCTCCTGTTTCGCCTGCTTCAAACGTTGGGCTTTACGTTTACGGGCCTCGTTGATCTTCTCAGCGGCACGTTTCTCTGCAGCCAGCAGCTGTTGTATACCTTGAGTCTGTGATGCCATTTCCAACAAGCGCTGTTAAAGGCCTAAAAGAGAGGCACTGCTATAGAAAAGTGGATGAGACAGACGAAGCCGCCTACAAACACAAACAAAAAATGATGTATAAACTTGGGATGCAGCGGCCCCACTGCAAAAAAAAAAAAAAAAGAAAACTTAGGTATGCAGAGAGACATTTTATTCACCCAAAAACAAAAGTAATACCCTACGGATTAAACATAAAACAAGTCATCGTCACACTGACAAGGACCTAAAACGGTGCTATCAAAATTGCAAATCTTAAACACATAACAAAAGAATGATTTCAAGAATTAATACAGAGATTATGCTGCGAAAGAAATTTTCCGCCCCTGTCTACTTAAACGAAGACACATAACAATTTTATGATACTCAAAAATATCACCATACCTGTACATTTCTCACAAAAATATTCTGACTAAATAAAATATCTAAGGTACTTAAGGACAATAATTAAAAAAAGGCTCAAATTTGAGCTGATATGACGAAGAAGGCAAATAGGACAGACTGAATGTAACGGAACCCCAAGAGTGCACTGGCATAGTGTAATAATACACTTAATTTTTACAACAAATAACCTTAAAAACAATTAGAATTAGATATGCCACAAACATACGTAGTCCTGACAAAAAATAATTCGTACTTACCAATAAGACCTGTATCGCCTAAGTTTGAACTGTGTCAGCTGATAAGCTAAAATATTACCAGTCAGCAAGGAAAAGATGATGAGGATAGAAACAGAAACAATAAATTAAAAAATAAATAACAACGTCAGTTAAGTCCCAACTCTCAAATGTCAAAGTATGACAAACTTGATAAACGTTTCAAAGAAAGACAACAATACCAGTGTTAAAAATGTACTACACAAAGGTGGCGAGGAAAACACCTTTTTGCAAATTAACTTCTCTACATCTACTAAAACATATTAACTTCTGATTGAATTAGAAAGACAATTTTATGGAACAGTAATCTGCTTCTTAACACTTGCTCTTTTATCTGTCACAGAAACAAAAGTTAAAGGTAAGGAAATCTGCACTGTCTCTGGATCATCTTGAAACTGTGCAGTAAGGTCAAAACAAGTAACATTATAAACAGATGCCATAGCAACGCTAAGGCAAACCCTAAAAACGTGGATAGAACCAAAAGAAAGTGAGGCCCGTTTTCGCACGCAATTTGAAATAATCAGTGGTTGCCCAATTGACGACCGAGTTTGTAACGAATTAAATGAAGATCCAAATAATTCTGTGGAAGAGACTGTTCTACAACCATCACCTTGTGAAGAATTGAAAATACCCTTCCCTTCAGGCATATAACACTGCAGCACTAAGTTACAATGGCGTTGTGCTTTATCATTATTTTTGACCGTTATCTCGATCGGCAAATGACAAAACCTGAACAGAGTAATTAAAAATTACTCAATTTCATAGTAATGTTGAATGCAAAAGAAAAAACACATCATCTTACACTGAATAAAATTTTTAAAACACAACTTAAGAGTTCTATAAATACAGAAAAATTAAAAATAATTAATAGCAAAAATGACAAATTCAGGAACCTTTCCACGGTAAAGTCATGTGAAATACTACTTGCGGCACATTTGACACTGCACATCAGTGAAGAAGAGTCATATTGTGTCCTTCCACTTTCAGTAAACGCTTCATCAATTCTGCTTTTTGAAACGGTTTTCTCGAATAAACTCAAAGACGATAAAGTATCCGGCAGAGACTCACAAGGAAACAAATGACAACAAAAGCTAACCACAGTCTCTCCAGTAACTGCAACACGTATGAAAAAGTGTAGAAACGCTATCGACCATAATTATCTTCAAAGCATAAATATTTGACCATTTTGAAACTTACTATTAGCTAATGTCCCGTCCTTATTTACAATATCTGCTTTCCATAAGACACCATAATAAGAAGAAGACCTATTTGGAAATACAAAACTTGAGACACTAGCACTAGAGGATTGCGGAAAGAGAGTACTGATTTCAGGCCAGACAGGAAAGCTGTCAAAAGGCGTTCCAAGCCAAACTATAGATTCAGGAGATAGACTTTCTCCACCAACAGTGAAGCAGAGATTGTCGGATTGTTCACATTCAAGAATTACTGCAAAATTATCAATAAAAATATCTAGTAAAATGTTATAGAACTTTATTTACTACAAAGATTTGAGGAGAAGGTCAGAAAATGTTTTTTGCCCTACACACCAAGAACATACCATCGCGAGGCTTTAACGGCATCAAAGAAATGCTCTGTTTAGTGCACAAGCCCGGGCAGGCACCCCTGGGTTGCTTTATACACCGAACACCTAATAGTTTAACTTTCACTAAAAGAGAATCACGTTCAGAAACCAAATTGCGTACACGTAATAAGCACAGGTCTCCCGCGTCCCCAATCGAACTACAAAAAAATAATGAAAGGGAAGTTAAGCAATTTCATACAGAAAAAGGACCCGTATGAAAAAACCTTCCAAAGAATTCCAACACATAAAAAGCAAATAACCTCATTGAAGCTTCCAATAACTGGCGAGTATCAAAAGAAATCAAATGACGTTCCTGTCTACACATGCCGTTATCACCAGTACAATAAAATAAGAGAGAAAGCGAATAGCCAGCTATTTCCTCAGACGGAGCCCGAAATGCAATTCTCAATCTGAAGTTGAAAGTTTATCAAAGGAAAACAACGGGTATCCTAAGCACGCTGATGAAAACACAAAAATCCGTCTGTCAAAAGACTCAGAGAAAGCTTCCACAAAAACTTCAGAATTTAATATAAAATAAAAAGAAAAAGTACTTTTTTCTCTCGCCTGAATTAACAATCCCAAGTTTCGGATGAAAAATAAGAATATTCTGATCCGTCTTTGAAAGCTGATAATTAGAAGGTTCCCAAGAAAACTCGCCCTCAGCAGAAACTACAAGCTCATAAAGCGAAACCATAGAAGGACGGTTAGTGACCAAGCAAAGTTCTTGAATAGCGACATAACCTTCATTAATTAAATCAAAATCAACGGAGTATATTTGCCCGCAGAAAGCAGTTATATAACGAACAGCAGGAAGCTCAATCCGAAATGAAGGATGTGGCAGCGACACAGTACCAGAAAGTACAGTACAACACTGTATATTTCTGGACATCTGAAAAGTGCTTTTAAACGACCTTTTTCCTATATCCAACAGAATATGATCAAAAATTCCTACCCTATTTCTTGCTAAAAAACTGCGAGATTCACTGGTCAGCCGAATTTGACAATTCAGCAACTTTGCACAATGCTCAACACTACAAGAAATGCCAGTAATTACTATACTCGACAGATCCTTCCGTGGTACTAAACTTAGTTCTACTTCCACACATTCTTCATCAGGTTTCAAAACCACCTAAAAACTTTAGATAGAGTGTATTGCAGTGAAAAGTAAATAACAAAGAAAAAAAATTGCTTAACAAAAATCACTTCATCGACGATGGATTTTTCCAACTCAACGTAATCTTCTTTCAAACATAAAAAGAGTTGCTTCAACGCGACTGGAAAGCCCAAAAAATTGTAGAGTGCTATTCTCAATCGAAGAGGTTCATTGAGCCGCGCTAAACGAGTCTGAAATTCTCATTTGCCTGTTAAAAATAATTCACCAATTTTTTATTTCCAAAACCCAACCACAGAATTTCTCAAAAAGCCTCTACATAAGACTTTAAACTTACAACTGAGTAATCCGAAAACTCGTCTGTTACTGACGGTACGGAAACAAATTTCCTTGACAGACCAAAGAAATATTGAAAAGCAGCCTTTTCCAAATTATTCCAACTCGGTAACATGATTTTCTAAAAAACATAATACACTGCTTTTGTCTCATATAAAACGAAAAACGTGTACAACACTACAAAAAATAGAATATTTCTTCACAGAAAACCATAATCACTTCTTTTAATATAGCTATTGTTAATATCGCTTCAATATATGTTAGGATCAATACCAACCACGTCAGAAGCTTCCCCAACAAGTTCTCGAACTGCTTGTTCAGAAACATTGCCGTAAACAACATAAACAAGTTTCGCAACTATTACTGTAACCGGGAGAGTTAATGAAACGCTATTTGGCCCGCAACGTCTAACCATTAATTCTAAAAATATTGAAAAAAACTGCTGCTGCTGTTCTTCACACTGAACTGATGTTGGACGAAATAACTCTTCTGAATATTCTAATGCCAAATCTAGACTTCTGCTATCTCTGGCCAAAGTATATAATATTGAGTCCTGAAAGATTTTGCTCATATAAGCCTTAGGAAAAGATGAATTTGCATTCAAAGTATCCTTGAAAGCAAGCAAAAACTTCAAAACCTCCGCAAAGAACCAGCGCTTCTGAGAATATTCCCTGAGTGCAGTTTTGTAACATTCTAAAGCAAGAATCTCCTGAGTAGCCTTGAAAAATCGATCGCCTGCCAGAACGTAATGAAAAGCCATCTTCCGTAACATCTTAGCATTACCAAAAGCCACCGAGCACCTTTCAAGCAGTATTCCAGCAAATAAATCATTTTCCTGAGTAAGAAGTATAATTAAACGCCTAAATGAAAATCAAAATACCTTTTTTACAATACCCTAACTAAAAAGGTGAAATCAGAATAGAATCACGGACCATAATTTGAATAGTCAAAAAAAATTCTAAATTTAACTCTGACAAAAGTGTAGCTAAAAATAAATCCAAAGACCAACGGGTTCTGTTAGCAAAATAAATAGTTTATACCAGAGTAGTAAGCTTCTGTAACTGACTGGCGGCTTCTATGTGCAGTTTAAGCACTTCTAAGATAGAAGCGTTCAGCAAAGCTGCTCTCACTGCTAACACAGGTCTCCTGAAACGGCGGAAAAGATAAAATTCCACCGCGATCCTATTGTGTTAAGGCCACACAGTTACCTTTCCTTTCCTTAATAAGGCTTTGCAAACAATTCCAGGTTCACAATTTCAATTGAAATAAAATTTAATTAAAAGCTAATTTCTCCTTAAAACTATAGCAAATTGAACTTTGGCTGTATAAAGAAAGTAAAATAAAAAACTAATGTTAAAACCCTTTAAAAATGCGTTAATAAAAACAAATTTAGAAAAAAGTTGAATAAAAGCAGTCATATATCAAGATCTAAGAGAGTCGTGGGGGTAATTAGTTTACAAGTAAAAGAAATTAAATAAAATCTGTTTTTACATATTAGCAACATAACTGAGAATAACTGAGAACAGCCGTCACGATTAAATTCAAGAATTACGAAAATGAGAAAAGATTTCTTTGTCTCTGACACATTAAATGGCGAAAGGAACCTGCTCACATGCATGTTGTGGTATAATAATTTAATGCATTCTCCATATAATGTTGAGAATACTGCTTTGCTGGCATCTGTGGATTTGTCATAAAAAATGTAATTGCAGCCATCTCCTGAAAATCTGATCTTATACGAGAGGACGAGCTCCAATAAAGCATAAAAAATAATAAACCCATTCATACTCAACTGATACTCACCAGAGCACCAGCATGATGAAGCCAAGCTTGATCCACAGCAAAAGTTTTCTTGAGACTCTGATAAAGCTGAAAGGCAAACCCATATAAACCGAAAACAAAACATAAATCGGCAAGTCGTCTCATCTGCATTTCACTACTCTCCATAGAATATCTGAAAAACCCACAAAATGTAAACGAGCAACAACTTCTAGAACTTCCAGTAAAGGTTAAGAAAGCAGAACTAAAAAATTAAATGTTCCCCTATAAAAACAAATGTGGCTTCTATTAAAACTGCAACTTACGAAATGGTAGTAGAGTTTGTAGACTGAACAGCAGCTGCACCAAACCACTTCTTCATACCTGTAGTCAGCGAACGACTTATTCCTCTTCTAGCAGTTATTTGCTCATTCATCGTCCTTAACTGTTTTTCCACAAAAGGTGTTAAAGCCTCCTGATTGAACTTTAAAACCTAAATAAAAAACCACTAATCAAAAAACGGTTGTATATTAATATGAAGAAAGTAGGTATAACAGTTAATAAGTCAAACAGGCAACCATATTTGATATTTCTTCACGATCGCTGGCGTTAAGGTTACTACCGTACTGCTTAACGTAAGAACAGTTGCAATTTTCGAGGCTACTACCCAATCCAGTTGGATGATCCTGATTGGACTCTTGATCTTCCTGAAAAAAAAAAAACGCAATGTCAAGTGAATAACTCACCCCTTTGTGAGGTCCACTTACACCTCAAAAATACAGATTTTTGTAACCTTTCTGGCAATTTTGAAATGTATTGCCTGCAAACATTTTGCATAGTTACTTGTTCTAGTCAGAACACAAAATTTCAAAAATAAATACTTCACAAATTAAAAAGAACACCTCCACAGAACCAGCAGATTTGGACAAAATCTTTTTCCTTGCCAAAGCTAACCCACTTTCCAGCCCACGGTTCTTACGTTCCAGTTCTTTTTTCCAGATGTCCTTCATGCCATCGCCGTTCCCCGAATTTAACCGCAAAAAGTAGCAATTTTCAACTCCATAAGTAGAACACATTGATGCAAAAGTGTCAGAGGCCCTAAAATTCTTTTATAACAGCATTTCAACAAAGTCAAAGCCAAAAATCTTTCACATACTGAGATAAAAAAATCCCAAAAAACTTTTTTTTATAAAATAAAATAGACTCAAATTGAACTAACTCTTTTTCTCCATTAGTACACATATCATGAACAAGAATATAATATTTATATGTGTTAGGAAGCATCCACTTCGGATGTACGCAATACGCAGGTCCAATTTCTTCTGTAGGCGAGCCATGCTAAAAAGAATATTGGTTACCCCATTACGCAAGTCTCATCTCGACCCTCCAACTCTGAATGAAAAATTTTAAGTGTCATTTTGACAACAACAACAATAATAAAACAACCTTTCAAATTGCTCGTCAAGCAAAATAAGCAGAAAAATGCTACTACACGTTGGAAATACTGAGGGGAAGTAGCGCTAAAGACAGTCAACGATACTGCCAAAAACAGTAAGTTTACTCATTAGCAAAAAGTAATAATAGATTAAGAACAAAAAAATATGCTAACGACTGAAGGTAAATGAAAAAAGTGATTTGAAAAAAAAAAAAAAAAGAAAATAGTTATTTAACAAATATTCAAATTATATCAAATTGGAAGTCTTTGATCAAAAATAAAAGATAGTACGGGACGAGGGGGTGCACACAGCGGAGAAAACACAACACCACACAACCCTATGCTGCCAACACTCACACTCTCTCTACTAACGACGCTCTCTCACCAGTCCCATTATCAAAAACCATTCAGCGATCTTTCATTTCTTCTCGCTCTCAGTCGGACCGCTGGTTATAATCCAAAGACGAACAATTTGAATGCTACTGCAGGACGCCAGAATTTAACAAACAAGTACTACAAAAATCCGTCATTTCGTCTAAAACCAAAAACATTTTCCCGATTTTCAATTACGTTTATTGAGCCATCATAAAACCTACATAACCTCTGCATAGATAAAAGGAATAAGGCAAAATAAGAATAGTAAATTAGTAATAAAATCAGAATCGAAAGTGTCTAAAGTTTGCTTCCAGCACTGTTAGTTACAACTCCCCAAAAATAAATTACGATTCTCCTAAAACTCTTTAAAATCACTTCTTTCTACACCATGCCCTCACTTTTGCAAAAGAAAGGCAGACTTCATAAATCACCACCACAAATAGCATTAAAGTGAATCATCTTCACATGTACTGACATATTAAAAAAAAGCACACTAGCAATATCCCAACAAGACACAACAATGTAAAATAAAATGAATAGTACGAATGGTACTGAGTTAATTCAATTTTGTGCTGTGCGCAGAAATATTGGTTCACAGATGATGAAAATCAGAGCAAATTTCCTAAAAAAATATTAAGAAAAGTATAAACCTTAACTATTTAAAAAGCTCACTTGCTGCGTATGTTGCATCTCAATAAGTTTTGAGAGTTCACCAAGTGGATCTGCATCGTTCGTTGAAACGACAAATAAACAAGCTATGTATGTTCTTAAGAATTCATGTTCAAAAGGCTCAGCCCATCGAAGTAACGACTCTCTAAAAAACGCGATCATTACGTGATGTGGACTAACGCAGAATAAAACCTGCGGCAAAGCCCAAAACTATTTGTGTTGTATTTAGCGACTAAATGTCTCAATAGGAAGATATGAACGGGAGACTTAAAGAGAAATAAACCGAATACAATATACAAACACTAATAACTTCTCGTACCAATGGCAGAACCATATGAAAAGCTAACAATAGTAACCTCCAACACTATTTTACCATTGACAATCGTATTTCACATCCAGAATTATTTTGAAAATGCTGATTTACTCAGGAACTTCAAAAAACTTAGTACATGATTACCCTCTCTACTCCATCCTTATGTGGCTAGTTGTTTCAATTTTTTATGTGTGAATTGTATTCAGTTAAATTGAGCGAAAAATTTTAAAAAAGCGTTTTTCAAACTGAAAGTTGTAAAACGCAAAGTGAGTCTTAAATGAATAAATGTCAAAGAATGCTAGGTATTTATAAATAAGCCACAAAAAAACTAAAAAACGGTCGAAAAAACATGTTTAAGAGATGCTTTGTTGCAAAGATTAGGAACCGATTCCTTCTTGAGCATCTAAATCAACACGCAGTATTATGACAATAACGAGTTCTTCCCAGAGAAAAAATAATACATGGACTTCTAGAATTTGCATGTCCATCAAGACAATTTGAAAAATTTGAAATCAGTTACTAATAACCGTTTTAAACAAAGCAGAGGTTAGATGCTGCAATGTTAAATTTTCATCAAAAAACTTAAAAACCAAAAATGAGTTCAAACAACCTTCAAATTATCCTACAATTTATACGCCCACTGAGTCCTAATAATCTATCATCATTTCGAATTAAGCAGGTAAAAAAGTTTAAATCTTCATAATAAAATTGATTTGCAACTTTCTAACACCCTCTTAAAGTCTTTCAAAGATTTTAAAGAGTGTTATAATATCTCAAGTTGCACGCATGTTCACCTTTTAGCTGTTGAAAGCTTGTTATCAACTCGGGTTCTTTTCAAAAAAAAAAAAAAAGATCCCCTTTCAAAACAGAAAAAAAAAAAACAAAATTCCTTCTCATTCTATCGCTTCAGTACAACAATGGTGTTCAAAACTGTATATCATCAATAATTAGTTTAAAATTTAAAAAGTAGAAACCTAAATGCAACGGTTGCATCAGAAGTCGAAGCTACCGTGTGCACACTTTCATGCAATACAGATGGCAAGACAGTAAGCGTCAAAAGAAAACCTTCACGACGAATATCTCGAACATCAAAAATCAACCTTGTAGAGACTGAAGTACCGGCTGGATCCTAAACTGAACAACAATATTAGCAACTACAATTCAATAACACTCATATGAAATACAACCCGTTAAAAGTTTCATATTTATCTCATCTATGCCGACTACATTTATTTATCTTCTTAATCCGCACATGTGAGGTACAATTTTTTCATACTCAAATATACTGGAATGATAACACACTACGCGCTGCCCCTTAGCACTGCGGTAAATTTCAGAAAGCAAAATCAAATCTATGATTTGCAGGGAATAACAAAATGCCTAAATGAATCATGGAACCAAAATAGTTTTCAAAAAAAACTTGATGTGTGACATAAAAACTGTTTACAAAAGAAAATTCCAATTACGATATGCCTTCTGAAACTGTTATGTACGACTTTAACGCAACTTTTGACTGCACTACCGTTTCCAATAACATGCTTGTCATTTGACTAGCCATAAACAAGAAAAAAAAACAATTCTGAAGAACTTTTACGTCAAAAGAAAACAAGAAATCTACTTTTAAAAGAATTTAACCAAGACTTCGGTCAGGAATGAGCAATGACATATCCTTTAAATGTAGAGAAGAGGATAACCCAACACATATCATTAAACAATATTCTAGTTAAATTTAATAGTTTTCCTGTATCAGTAAAGAGGTAAATGCAAAGAAAAATAAAGATTGAAAGTTGGAGAAATTGATCTCGACTAATACCTAGTTAACTTAAAAAACGAGGACTCAAAACACGCAAAAATCAGTTACCTTTATTTCACACTGTATGTCAACATATGGTAAGAGGAGTTGCGCGAACGTCAAATTATTCTTTGCTGTAATTCGTTCTACACCATCTGAACTAAGCACTGCCAATAATGGCCCAAATCCGCGTTTAACCTCCTCTTCGACCATTCGTGAACTGCTTCTTGGTTAAAAAATTTAAAATCTTCCCCACATACAAAACTTTCGTCAGAATACTACTTATTTTCTACAACAAGAAAATTACTGACCCGATAAAAGTTACCAGAGGATTGTTTCTGATCGTCACAACCTCAATCCAACAAGAACTTTGGCGACAAAATTAAAGCATTTTAAGGAAGAGAAATGAAACAGGAGAAATACCGCAATGTATAAAATTGTTATAAAATCCATACATAACCTCACCAAAAATAATGCCTCACGTAAAAAAAAAATCAATTAGAATACTGCTTAGCACAAACTATCAACACATATATTCATCACAAACAAAATGACATCAACAAATCGAAACGTAAGCTTACGTACGAGAGGTTCTTAATGAAACCACTAAAGCTGTAAAGCTAACTATCGAGCAGTAAGTGGTGGCAAGTGATAAGTTGACCGCAGAAGAGACACAATACTGCAATAAGAGAAGACAAAAAAAAAAAGGAACTCATTTTAAACAATAAAGAAAACCTGAGGTGGTATCTCTTAGCAACCAAACGGATTTAGCAAATACCAACACCTTTCGTGCACAACCGATCTGTTAATTTCAATCTCAAATACAGAAAAAATGATATTTCAACAAGGTAATTAAACAAATTTTTTCTATCAAGCTACAAATACTCGCAGAAATTTTGCTCATATCAATACAATGTAAATTTAAAGAGCATTTTCACTTTCTCTTTAAACAAACACAAAACATTATAAACTATCCAATGATATCTTTACCAATTCAAAAACACTCTTCCCCATCGCATGCAACTTAGACTTTTTGTAAACAGTTCTTTTAACAACTCTTTCAACTTGCATTTGAG